TCAGTCTTTATTTCTAATAATTTGAGAGTTACTAGCATATGATGCTGTCAGACTAATGGGGCAAATTGGAAATAAGCGACCATATTTTATATGATTTTATATTTAAAATAAATAAATTCTGAGTTTTTAAAATGAAATGATGAAAATTATCTCATTGAAACACTAATAAAACATATGACTGTCCTATAAACTTAATTTACTTAGTACATTTTATAGGCACTGTAAAATGCAGCTTCCTTCTTAACAAGCTGAACCTCTTTAGGGAGGGGAGTGGAAATTTTCCCATGACCCAGTGCTTCACAAACATGTGAAAGAAATTCAACTAAAACAAAATGAAACATTTGCTCCATAACAGCTATACTAAGATTCAAATCACTGTCTCATTAAAGCCTGTCGCCTGATTTGAGAATTCAATTTGCATGAATACAATTCCATTAAAGTCAGTCATGGAAATGAGATCAGGAATAACCTATAGTTACTTTATTTTGGATTTCAGGAAGGAAAGAATACATCCACAGCTTTCTGTTGTCAGTGCATGAGAACCAAAGTGTATAGTAAACCTTGGCCCTAGGTAGACATATCAGTATCATTTTGTCAATGAGCCAGCACAGAAAATTTTGCTTTAAACCAATGCAGTGTAATCTTAGATGTTTTATTAAATATATTTTGAAATCAATTCACTATGGTTAATAAACTGTCCTTTGGTGATTAGTTTTCCCACTTGTAAGCAGTAGTTAGTGAAAGTCATACTCAGCAATATGTACATATATGTTAATATTGCCTTCTTGGTACATTCTACCCAAATAAAAGCTGCTGACACTCCAGACAAGATTGTGCCAGGAGATATTCTACTAAATTTCATTTAGTAATCTGCTTTCTAGAATAGAAGTGCATGCTGAAATGATAATATTTTTGACTTTATATGTCTACATACCTCTAATCATTTTAACAGCAATTAGTAAATAAAATTTCTGCATCGCTTTCTTCCCCAGTAGGAAATGAGAAAGCTGCAGTTATTTATTTAGGTTGTGGGGCAACATCATGCATTGGTGAAAAATTTTAGAGCATCTTTAGAAACCAGAACAAGAAAAGTGGTACTAGATCCAGTGCCAGCTTCTTTACTGAGTGTGAATTTCAGCAAAATCTTTCAAATTAAAATTAATAATTCAATAAAATAAGTTCACCACTTCTTCTCCTTTTTTGGCCACCTTTCTTGTTTCCTCCCTTTAACTATTTCACCTCAAAACTCATTTCTACTCCATTTGGCTATAGCGCCATTACACTAATTGCTCCCTCTACCATCTGCCAATGGTGGCTGTTAAAAAAACAGATCTCTTGCATCTCAGGATGCAAGTGGACTTTAGAGCAGGTTGCTTTTTAATATAAAGGGGGTAATGAGGCTGGCAACAGTTTTTGAAATTTAGGGAGATGAGTACCTTCTTCCAGAAACTCAAGTTTAGGATGAAGCGATGGTGACACTGCCTCTTCAGAATACTGGTTTGTACCTCTTCACCTTCAGAAGGCTTACCTTGCTGCTCAGACTTCCTGAAACCAGGAGATTGCACCAAAACGTTGATGGTAGTGACAGTGCACCTATGGCAAGATGGCATAGGCCTTGTTCCCAGCCTACAGAGCTCACTAGTAAAAGAACTTTCAAAGGAAAAGATCTCCAGATCCTCCAGTTACTTTGCGGCTTTTTAGCTTTTGAGTATAGAAATGAGAAGCAAAAATCTTATGCTGCTATAATCATTAGAGTTTCTTGGCCTGAAACTGCACTCAGTAGGCAACAATGATAAATAAAACAGGGACAGGGAGCAAGCTCCAGCACTAGACCACAGGCTCTCAGTACTGTGTCCCTGTTCTCACACACAATTGTAGCCTGTGCCAAGTAGCGCTCTCCAAGACAATGTACTAACCTGGCTCAGAGGACAGCACAGAATCACAGAATAAGAATCACAGAATCGTTTAGGTTGGAAGGGACCTCTGGAGATCATCTAGTCCAACCTCCCTGTTCAAGCAGGGTCACCTAGAGCATATTGCCCAGGATCACATCCAGACGGGTTTTGAATATCTCCAGCGAAGGAGACTCCACCACCTCTCTGGGCAACCTGTTCCAATGCTCTGTCACCCTCACAGTGAAGAAGTTTTTTCTCAGGTTCAGATGGAACTTCCTGTGGTTCAGTTTCTGCCTCTTGCCTCTTGTCCTGTTGCTGGGCACCACGGAGAAGAGGCTGGCCTCATCCTCTTGACACTCCCCCTTCAGATACTTGTACGATACTTGTACTTGTACAGCACAGAATAGAGATCATTTCCAGTAGGCACTGTGAATTAAAACCCACCAGTTTTGCTTCTTTCAGGCTAAACAGTCTCCCACCACACTCCTTGGAGACTTTGCACCCTCAAGCACTTGTATTTATTTCCCTTTCCACATCCATGGGCGTGCAACACACACTCCCATTTTCATACGAACACTTTTCTGATGGGCTATACCGCTCTGAGTAGACCCCACATTGCTCCAGATATATTGAATGAAAGATACACACAGAACAGTAATTCTGCATTAGAATTCAGAGGAGGGGCCTAGATAAGACTTGTGGTTAAGGGCTACATAGCAGGGATGTGACAGATCTGTGCCAGTTGGCCTCAGAGTCAGGAAGAAGTCCCTGGCGCTGTTTTATTTAGCAGTGATACCATTGCCAATGTCTGCCAAAACTTACCTTTTTCAGACTTTATGTTGTCACAGGAAAGGAAATATCTGAGTATGCAGAGGAGTGTTAATGAGTGGATGATAAACGTTGTGGTTTTCCCTCTTTTAATTTTAATTCTTGCCAAGAACCGGCTGCTCCTTTGGAAAAGGGAGGAATAGTGTAAGGATTATGGTGAGGAAAAA